GGCTGATGTTAAGGAGAATAACCTCTGACCTACTTTCGCTGATCACCTATTGTACAGTCACTCTAGTCTGGTACATATTTTGGGGAGACAACTTAGGAGAAATTCTTCTGTTCCTCACAGAGAGACTTACTACACGAGATGACAACGGATAGGCAGTACGTTTCTCTCCTGGATAAGACATCAGATGGGCAGGGGCTTCACTCCGCAAACTCTGGCAGTGCTCGCTCATCTCCGCACAGCAGCTGCTCACCCTGCTCTTCGCTCAGGCCTCGGCCTACACTGTGGCCCCAGATCCTTGCAAGGTGCTGACGCCTGAGAAAGTAGGTGCTCAGATGCTACATGGAAGGCTGGCAGTTCAACACCCTCAAGGCACCGCAAAAGACAGACCTGGCTATCTACTTACAGAACTCCGCCCCTGGGAAGCCAGCAGAGCACAGGCCTCCCTTGTGAGACACACACACGGGCACCGTGAGTCTGGATCACTCCACTGGCTCTAATGCTGTCGGGGAAGAGCGGCCTGGTGGGGGCCAGGGGGCAGGCAGGGTCTCACTGGACCACCACGGGGCCAGAGCCAAGTCCATGGCAGTTAGCAATGAGGGTGCTGTCGGGGAAGCCTATATTCAGCCTTCAAGGGTGTGCAAGAAGGGACGTGTGTCCTGTGGCAACTTGGGGACAAGTAGCTGCTTCCGGAGGAGCCGTCAGCTACCAAGCTCTCCTCACCGTGCACCCTGTGCTTTTTGTGACCTTGGGTCAGTCCATGCTCAACAGCAACCAAGCACCCACCCCTCCCCACCACACTCGCCCTAGTCCCTTCCAGCTCTGGTCTCACGGTGAAGGACAGCCTGGCTTCTTGATGGCACCGAGTTCCTGAACTGCTCCTGGGACAGCCACTGTCCCCGCTCTCTGCTCAGGAAATGTGCTCCTTTTATAAGCTTGCTGTTCCCCCCTCCCCTACCCCCACGGGTCCTGAACTTGTTCTAAGTGAGCATTTCCTGGCCCCTTCCACATTGAGTGGCTCTGAAGCTCTAGGGTGGGTCTGGCTGTCTGTTGGCACAAGGCCTCTCGATGGGTCTCAAGTATGCTATGAACTGCAGTTGACACCTCTGCCGGGCTCCCTGCCATCTGAGGGCAGCTCCTGCAGTCCCTGGGGAAGAGTGAGGCATCAAGCTATTGGGGCACTGCACACCGGCATTTGCTACGCTGTCTGTGTCCACCTGGAAGTACATCCCTTGAAGGATACTTCCGAATCAACAGAGGCATTTTCTGACAGCAAAGCCAGTGTCCTCTGCTCTGCTCCTGGGCCCCTTTATACTGCAGGGCATTGTGGGAGTACTGGTGGCACCAGGGTTAATTTGCTTGACCATAAGCCCCTACTATGTGTCAGCCATCATCCTCAGTGCGATGTAACTATCCTCCAACTTGTGATGTGATGTAATCACCCTCTATCTTCCACCTTGTGATGTGATGCAATCACCCTCTATCTTCCACCTTGTGATGTGATGCAATCA